CTTAGCGATATGTAATTAAGGGAACCTAGAAGAAATTACTTACTGAAAATTAGAAATATATCATTACTTAAATTTTGATTTTTTTGTATATTATGCAATTTAATTTTCAAAATATTTAAATCAATTTTAAGCCAAGACTTGCAAACGTTATAATAACGTTATATTTGACAAAAAACGATTGAAATTTTTAACGTAATTATAACGGGAAACGATAAACATAAATAGTTAAATAACACAAAACAAAACATAACGATTTACAAAATATATGATATATCATAAAACAAAACATAACGCAAGACGTTAAATATAGTATATCATTGATTGAAATAATTAATTTCCAATTATTTAATAGTTATAATTTATAAAATACATTAAACATTTTAATTCTGAATAATGTTAAACGCAAAATTTGTAATACGTTTTAATTCTAAATAACGTAAAACAAAATATTTTTTTTCTAATAAAAGCCTTGCTTTAAGTTATTTAAAGCATTTAAAATGACGAGAGTTTTTGGTTTTATTTTTAAACTAGACAGTGATAAAAAAAGTTTTAAAATTTAAAACTAGACTTTTCATAACCACAGAAAACAATTGGGGGTATTTAAGTGTCTACATGTATATGATTGATAGGAATATTAAAAAAATTATATTTATAATTTTACTTACTTTATTTAAACTAAAGTACAATTTGAAGTAATAACACCATTTTTAGTTTTTTTACTATTAAGTAGGTATACAATAGTTATAATAAACAATTTGTAGAAAAAGTGCTTAAAATAACCATTCATTCTAAACCGCAATAGAATTAATAGAATTAATATTGTTTTTCCTTGTAGATAATAATTAAAAAATGTTGAATTTAAATTTAATATATTCATTAGGTACAGTAATCTACTCAAAAACTAGATGTACTCAAAAACTATTAGGTACTTGGATTTTTTTTTTTTTTTTTGATTTTTACATCTCTCAATAACTAATAAAAATATAGATTCAAAGTTTTAAAATTATATCTTAACCACATAAAAATAGAATAACGTATTAAATTCTTAAACATTTCTACATATCACTGAAATTTAATGTAAATGATGTATTTACTATAATATGTATTTTCAAAGTATAAATTCTATAAGTGTTACACAACTTTTTCAAATTAGGAAATTAGATAAATTAGATTTTTATAAATTAGTTTTCTTTACACTAAGTTATTGTGGCAACATAGGTGGCTCAGAGTCGCTTCATTTTCATTTGTCTTGAATATTTGTTTTTAGAAGTTAAGTGTCACTGCGGGATATAGTCAGTATTGATCATGCAAATTTTAACACTCGACTGCTCTCAATAGTCAATGATGTATATCTTTTTACACCTATTCTTACTTTGCTAATGATTTTGAACAGCGTACCTTTTTTTGTCTTTCATATAATTTAATATAGTCATCTATAAGTAAAAATAAATGCATTATAGAAAATAACAATATATGATTGCATGATAGGTTTTTTTCATTTCGTATAAAGAGAATCATGTGGTCCATTTTTTTTAGGTATTGGAAGAGATTGTTCAGACAAGTTTTAGAAGCAATATTGGATATAAGAAGCTTCGGAAAATTTAGTAAAATAATGGGTATTAATATTGGATTAACGCTTGGTTGCTAACACACTTAGAATCGTCAGGTATTTAGACCAAGGTTTATAGATTATAATATAAATTAGTTCGATGTTTAAATAAACCTAAAAATTGTTGAAGGTTGAAGTAATTGTTTATTAATTACTATTAATTATGCTTTATAGATAGGTTTTGGAATCAAAAATATTTTCCTTAGTTAATGCAGTCTGTGGGACAATGATACGTATTCTTTTAAATTAATTTTGGAATATATACATAGAAACAATGACCTCGAAATTATAACTGATGTATTATTTGATTACACATAAAGTCGCTAAGTCTATTATATATCATAATGTAATAAAATAAAATAATTTGGTTGTTTGCAAGCTTTTAAAACAATTTTATACGTTTCCATATCATATAACTATTGAACTACACTATAAATATAAGTGGTATGGAAATAAAATAAGCTATAAAAAATTCTTACCTTATTTTGCTGAAAATATATTCTCATCAAATGACGGGAATACAATCGACGCGTGTAGTTTAATGTCTGTTTGACTATCGTAATAATGTTTACTATATTTATACTAATATTTAATTATTCCATTAAAAAACCACTAACCGATCAAAATCATTCTATTAAAACTCTACTTCGATTATCATTTACATCGAAAATAGAGAATACTGATAAAGAGGAATAACTATTTAATTATTGGGATGTCATTAAACTTCCTACACGATCTACGCGATACATTAATTTATATAGGTAACTTCGAGGATCATACTTTGATTTAGTATTCTGTTTATTATTGGTAAAGGGCATAAAGGTATATTGTTGTAGAAACTTTAAAATCCTATACATGTATAAAATATATAATTTAAGTTTGAATAACACCTCAATCCTCTCTCGAACCCACTATACTGAACATCTTTAATACATTTTGTTTATGGAATATTGAATGTGGGTGTTGTGTAAATTATGATATGATTTAAAACATTATCACTAAACCATAATAAAATCAACTATGTTGTAAAGATATAAGTGTCATTATTTTATATTCTAATCGGATGGATGTATTGATTTTATAATGATGAATGTTTTGTGCGAGTATGTATGTGTGTGTACGTGTGTGTGTTCAAGTGTATTGTCCGGTAAAAAAATTGAATATAGTAAATATTTGGAAAGTTTAAAATAAGAATTCTAAGAATTTTTACGCAAAACCAGTTTCGAATAAATTCATTTTATTGTTTTGTTGTTATCCAAAAATATATTATCATTTTTTTTTCACAAATATTCATATTGCTGTTTAATATTCACTACTTATAATTGTTTAAATATTTTGGATTATTTGTACTGTTGAAAGATATTCTGAATTTTCAATTTGTTTTTTTTGACTTTATTATGATAGCATTTTTGATTTTGTGTAAAAAAGATTGAAAATGTAATATACAATTTTACTCATATGTTTTAAATACTAATTTTTTAGTGATATAGACTGACAAACTGTCTTTGCTTAATGAAAAAATACATTTGACACATAATATAGTTTTCTATTAATCTACATTTATTTTTGTGTATATTATAAATATATAAATCAAAAAATTGACAAAAAATTTATCGTAATCGGTTGTGCGCAATTGTGTTTATTATACATAATATTATAATACTGATTGATGCATAACACTTGCAGTCATTTTAAATTAAAAGTATATAATTTTTATGTTATATTAATTTAAAAATTCATGAAATATTTTTTTTATTTACAGCGTGAGTTACCTACTTATATCAATTATTTCCGTGATCTTCTCATTCATAGTGGATGAAACACGCGAACATTCATTGTTCCTGCATCTAATACCTACGAGTATATGATTAATTTATATAGGTGTATTTTAACAAAGATTTACGTAATATTTATTTCCATTGTATACAACACCCCATTTAAATACTTATTAGAAGTTTCTTGAAAAGCCTTATAAAATTAAATAAGATCAAGTTCGAATATTAAACAGTAAAAGTGTGATTTCATTAAATGCTTCTTCATTATATTTTTAGTCACTTTTAATTTAATAAATCTTTGTACAACACTTTGTAAAATAAAACAATCGCACAGTATGACGTAGTATTGTTATAAAAGTTTGATATTACCAAATAAGCTTATGTAGGTACCGCGTTGACAATTGTTTGAAATTACAGAATAATTATAGCGCAAAAAATAATAAACGTAAATTATATTATAATATATGACTCCAATAGACTATATCAATGTATTATGAAATTTAAAAATTTAAAAACGCTGATAGGTACGTCGCTATTAATACACTTATATTAATCAATAATATATTATACAGGTCGATTTTCTATTTTTATAACTAAAACTAAATATTGCATAAAACAATAGTAGGTAGAATTATAATATATTTATTATTGATAAAATGTTTATAAAATTTTGTTGTTTTAGAATTATTTATTTTTAAGTTGTCAATAATGTCTACATTTTGTATTTAAATAAATAGCAAGTTATTGTAGGAGTGACTGATTGTTTAAACTTTAAAGGATACATATTATGCATGTTATACATATAAAGCACTCGCTAAGCAATAGGTATATGTAATATTTAATTCTTAAGTTAATTTTAAAAAAACAATAATAAAAGAAGAATATGTTATAATTGTCATATGTTGTGACCAAACTCCAGAAATAATAGTTGTAATCTCTACAACTCATCGACATTAATCTGCAGAAACTCAAAATGCTGTCGTAGTGCATATTATGATTTTTAGAACATTCGAAAAATGTAATGTAATTAAATGATATATCATTTTGAGGAACGGTTGTACTGTACAAAAGAATACAATCTCGTAGATTGAACGACGTAAAGGTGGACATTAACTAGGCAATTAATTTTCCAATTTATTTAAGAATCTAATTAGCTTAAATGAATTTTTAAACAATTTAGAATTTTTTTATTAATTTAAGACAATCTATAAAAGTTGAAGTTAAAACTTTTTTATGTAAATTGAGCTAAGTTAACATTTTTTTTTTCATATTAACTTTTAACTTGGCGAGTTAAAATATTATTTGTTAACTATTTGCTAACTTCAAACTTATCTCATGTTCTCTTAGTTTAACTTAGCTTGAGTTATTTTATTTCACTAACTTGCCATCCTTTGAATAGATATATATCACAAATACTTTTGTAAGTAACTTTTAGAGCTATTATTAATTTATAATACCTACTCATATTTAAATTTCATAAACATGTAGATTATGTATAATATTATATTACGTCATGTGTGTACAATTTTAAACAGAGATATATATTTTGAAGTGTAAAACTGATAATAATTATTGCTTTTTTATAATGTTTACTATAAATAAATGAAATATTTTTATATATTGTGAAAACATCTTTATTTTTAATAGGTATAGTGAAATTTTGGAATAAAATCAAACATCACTAATGCGTAGCAAACTAGTATACATCTGAGTCCATTGTTGGATTAATGATAGGCGCAAGTAAAGATTGACGAAAACTGACAGATACTGTTGATTGAGTTGGGCATATTACATATTTACTAGCGACGTTTCTTTTTTCCAAGTCCTGTCCATAAAATTCCTGGGTCGTGATTATTTGTACCACGATATGATTCTCCATCATCGTATCTTACAAAATTTCTCACATTATCTGACGGTTTACGTCCTCGAAAATAATTTCCAGGATAAGAGATATCTGAAATAAACATAAATCAAGTTAAGTATAACATTTTGATAACTAATAAGTAATAACAGAATAAAAATTATTTAAACTATATAGATACATTATATAGTTGTTTGATTAAGTGTCTATTAAAAAGTGATGCCTATATTATAATGGTTATAAAATAAATTAAGTCTCTAAAAGTTATTAATATTACATATAAACCCCCCCTTTGCACGCTCCACAGTTTTGAAGCCATTTGTGATATTAACCATATTCTTTTTTTGTCCTTCTCTAACCCATCTCCGCGATCCATTTCTCTTACAACTCTCTTTATTAGGTTACTCCTCTTCTGATATTATACTGCTTCTCAATTCTCGCTCTTCGCCTGTTATTTCCCTCATCATTAATTTTATCTACAAAGCTGGCTTCCTCATATAAATTTTAATTATGATAAAAAAAAAAAAATGTTACTATGTGTTTATATTTAATTATGTTATTTTCTTTTTAATTTTAATTTTATTTTTATATTTCTTTATAAACATTTTTATGTATTTTTGTTTCACTTATTTGTAATTGTTGTGCTGTAATGTTTTAAATAATAGCACTAAAAAAAAAAAAATTACATATAAACTTTTCTATAATACAGTGCCAATATTTCAGATACCACCTACAAACTTATATTAAATAAAAACACACTTGTTTAAAAAATATACGTTAAGTAAAACGTATTAAATTTAATATAAGTGTAATGATCAGTTATTCAAAATGTAATTTTATCATTTACAGTTAATTAAAAGTGTATACAAATTCAATTATAAATATTATTATTATAATTATTGACGCTTTCATATATCTATTGCATAATATGTAACCTAATATAAACTATTTCAATGTATTTAATGTAAGCCAACTAAATACATTAAGCAATATAACTAACCAATACTAATTATAAATTATTAGTAACAAAATAATATAATTTAAAAATGCTTTTTAAAATTTTTTAGAGCTAATAAAATATTTGTATTCTACTTATTTGTTATTAATTGTTATTAATTAGATATAATTATGTGATTAATATAGGTTTATAATTTCTAAAATTACAATAAGTACCTGTGCATTATTCTACCCATTCATATTTGTTTCATAAATGTTTTACATATTGATATGAATAAAAATAGTTAGGTATATGAAATTATTATAAATTTACTATAGTACATATGTTATGTTTAAAAATACCTACCCTAAACAATATCGTTTTGGAGATTTTAAAGTAGTTTTTTTTTTTCATTTTTTCGAAGTTGTCAAGTTGTATAAGAAGTATAAAATAATGAAATGGAAAAAAACTATTAATAGTTGATTTGTGTACACCAGTGGTAGGCAACCGGCGGCTCTCGTAGCTATTGCATACGGCCGCTTTAAATATAGAACGAATTATTTTATACTTTATATGATTCTTAAGTTTAAGACAGTATTTTTTTTTTCGTAGTAAAGAATTTAAGAATATAAAATCTTTATTTTTGTCTGGCCCGCGAACTCTTTTTAATTTGCGATTGTGGCCCGATAGTCCAAAAAGGTTGCCAATCACTGGTGTACACTACGTACACATTTACATTAACACGTTAATGGAAAGTTGCCAAATATTACTGCTATAGCAGTAATATGAATAGTTAACGTCAAGAGTCATTTTAAAATATTACTGCTATAGCAGTAGTATAAAAACCATCCAAAATATGTCATTACTGCCATAGCAGTGATATTTACAAAGGTCTCTTATGAAAAAGTAAGCTGTTCTGACCCCGGACATCTCATCGGACCATTGAGCATTTTATTTTTAGCCTGCTTATACACGTCTTTAAAATTGTACACAGGTATTTTCCATTTTTATTCTTCTGCTGATTAGTAATAATTTATATAGTGATAACTGTTATTATTTTCTCTTTTGATAAATACAACATATACGTAAATACGTAATATTTATCACGACTTTTTTTTATTGATTATTTATTATGAATTTTTCACGGCCACCATAAGAATATGTTATGTCAGGGGTCAGTATTGCTATAACGGTACTAAAAATATTAGTACTATAGCAGTAATGAAAATTGAAAGTGACGTTATAAGGGTGGTCTTTTTGAAAAAAATAATTAAATCGACTGACCATCAACTTAAAGTAGATAAACATCAAGTTAATTTGCTCCATTACCTAAACAAAAACCACAAAAGGGATCATTATTATACGCTATACTTTATACCAATTTAGTATCTTTAAATATTATTTTAATTTAATGTTTTGTTCGCAACATCTTATTATTCTTCAAATTATTAATTTTCTTTTATTCACTACTTTCGCTTTATATTATTATAATTTTAATTACTTTTTACTAGGTATTCAATTTTCCGTTTATTATTCTAGAAAGTGTAATCCCTCCAGATAAAATTTAAATAAAGAGATAACAAATTATTAGGGTAATTTGGAATGAAAATAATAATTTCATGATAATTATTGTTGAAAAAATAATAATATTTAACTTTATAATAAAGCTCTAATTAGAAAAATAAATTTAATACCATAATAAAAATTCTACTGTTAGTTGAATTTGTTTTGAAAGTCAGTTAAAAATTCAATTTATTTAGTAGGCGGTTGATTATGAATAAACGGTATTTTTATCAATAATATTTCGTAATTTTGAGTTGATAATGTGTTCATATAATTTACCTATTGTTTTATGATTGGTAGTGGGAGTAGTGAAAGAAAGGGCGTAACTTTATAGTAGTGATCCTCGATAAATTAAATTTTGTTTAAACAAACTTTTATAACCATGAGCATATTACATTTTTAAATGTCAACTGTAGATATTAAAAGAATATATCTATTCTATATTCACATACCAAGCAGTTTTTTCATAATATAATATACGAGTAGGTATATAATATAAAAATTCCACTTTTAATTAAATCAGCTGAGAAATTTACGTTGGATATCCACCTAAAAGTCGTGGATTTAAAAATAGAAATAAGTGTGAGTTTGTATCCAACACAACGTATTAAGGAGTTGACACCATAGTCCAATAAACAATACCTAACCAGTTATTAAAGTTATTAATAGAAAAGCATAGCCAATACGCGCTTTCGGCTCAAGACCTTTGGACACACATTAGCCAATTTCTCTGGACACCAACAACTCATTGTTTAAAAAAATTATACGACCTATGGGTCAGTAAGAAAGCAACAGTCTTACAAATTCAATTTAGTCATTGCTTTGGGCATGAATTCATGACGGAGAAAAAAATTATACTGGTGTGCACTATAGGCTCTTACATACAACAAGGCAGCGACGCAGCAGGTTACAAATAAATTGGCAACTCCGATGACTAAGCTTGGGGCAGTCTTATTCCCAAAACGACCAAAACAAAACGTAATCGGAGTTAAGTTTATTAGAACGAATCACGGAGTTAACTAAGACATAAGACTAAAACCAGACTAAGACCCACTGGGCACGTTTCTTGAAGTATAATTCGTAGGTATATTGGAATTATAAAAGTTTAAAATATATTCATCCTTAATTATTATCATCACTATATAATAATATAATACTTTATTATATGGTTTAATTTTTAGCCTATAACTGCATTATTTCAACTCAGGAAGTAAAGTAATTTCAATTTTTTTTTTATATGCATATTTCTATGAGACTACATTCCCTGACTGAAATCTATCCACTTTTAGGCTAATCAATCAATTTTCTGATACAAAAAATTATACCTTGCTCGACTGAACCCAGTCTCAAGAATTTCTTAACATATTTAAAATTAAAAACTAGAAAAGTATGCTTAAATTGTTCCATACTATAATGTATTGGATTATAAACTGTTCGATTTTAAATTGTTTTAATTATTCTTTCAAATGCATGATTTATTCACAATTTTACATATTTACACTTAATTATTTAATAAAATTAATTTTAACAATTTAATTAACAAATATATTAATTTCATATATAATAAAATAATGAAATAAATGTAAAGATTAAAATATTCATATTGTTTAATTGTTAAATTTAAAACTGAGTATAACATTAACATTTAATATTACACTAATAAATATTTTAGTTATTAGTTGAATTAATTACTAATTGCTAGTTATTAGTAATTAAGTAGGCGTATTCAAGTTTAGAATTATTAAATAACTTTTTATAATATTTCATACTGTTTTGAAAAATTAAAATATTATATTGAATCCCATTTTTAATAAATTAGAATCTTATATACAAATATAATAAATATTATCAGATGAAACTTTGCCAAGGAGTTTTTTTCAACAAAATATTTTATAGAAATCTTGTTTCAATCCTATTATTTTAATGGGTTTATTTCTAGCAAGTCTAACTGTCTAAGAGATTAAAACACAATTTCAATATAGAACAATTATGGTAATAGTCATAAATCACTTAAGAATATAATACTTTGAGGTTTAAATATTATCGTGGTAACTGTGTTGAATGGACATATAATTGAAATAGTTAATTATATGTAAAAGAAATCGTCTCGTAGTTTGTATACGGTTAAATAAATTACATTACACTAATGAAATAATTAAGTAAAATCAAAATAACACTATTCCAAGTTGTTTTATAGAACAATCATTTTCCTAGAGAATTAAATAATTAGATCATATTATAAGTATAAATAATTTATGAAATTTAAAAAAAATAAAAAAAAAAAAGAATAAATGATTTAAAAATATTGGAAATAAAATTAAAATTAATGAATAATTAATGACAATATAATAACAATATTTTTATACTCACAATAGATAAAATAAAAGGTCTATAGGAAATGTAATTTAATAAATTTTTATCGAATTTGAATAATAAATTAGACACAAATTTAAAAAAAAAAAAACAAAGAATATAAATTATTAGTAATACGTAATTAATTTAGATTCAAATCGCTTATTTAGATTAAATAATGGTTCCGAAAATATGTGGCCAACTTATAAACTGAAAATTTAACATACGTTATTTTTTTTATAGATCATACTGAGAATTTTAGAAAAGGGTAAAATATAACAGTAGCAAAATATTTACGGAGAAAATAAGTTATTATTACTACACATAATCTATAGGTATATATAACAATAAAGTTTTTATTAGGTATCATAAACAATAATAATTAAAATTATTTTTGACTATTAAATGACCATTTAAAAATGGCCAACAAATTACGTAAATCAGGTTAGTTTAAGTTTTTTCATTTATTTAATTTATATTTTATGTTAGATACTCACTTAAATTAAAATAAAATTTACCACGATTTTATCAAATTTATCATGAACAGAAATAAGGTTACGCACCGAACGATTGTATAAAGTATACTGTCGAGTACAGACTTTTCTGTCAATTGTTGATGAAGTAGTTAAGCTCCGACGGCCGACGTATTACAAAAATACATTAGGCATATTATCTAGGTATATATAAAAATGAAATTTCCACATTCTCACACTATATTGATTCAATACATCTTACATTTAAGTGCTAAAAGTAAATCTAATTTCGTAGGTTTATAAGCGGTCCTAATCTAACCAGTATTTAAGCCGATTACTGAAACCAGATTATTATTATAGCAGTTTATAATATTATACGTATATTATAACAAATGTTGTAGCCCAACGGAACGGTAAACGAGAAGAACAATTACTTCTAAACCGATGTGTCTAATATATTGAACGTGAAAACCACTGGTCATTCGGTATTTCTATATAGATACCACCGGCTACAGCTTATTTGAAATCCGATTAAATATGACAGATTTACCTTTCAAGAAAACAAGCTTCCAATTATGTTAACTCCAGCTGCAACTCACTCTGTATGTTGATATTATTCATTACAGAAATCTCCACGAAGTACATTTAATTTATAATATTATGTAAAATTATTAATTTATCATATTGTTACCTATGGATATTTTACCTGTCACTTATCAGTCATCACCAATCAATTCACAAAACAGTAATACATTACATTATATAAAAAAATTAATAAAAATATATTAGCAATTACATAATATCAGCCGATAATATAGTTGTACGGTTAATATTGAAAATATATAGATTTATTATTTTAAATTTATAATGAGTGCGAAATGTAACTTTTGTCATCGGTTTCTTATATACAAGTTAATACAATAATTATTTTATTTTAAGCTTTTAAAATGTATATATCACACTCTTGTTTAAAAATGTCAAGTTAAATACTAACAAAAGATGAATTATTATCAAAGATAAAGATAAGTTGGCGAGTTTGATATTTGTATACAGTTTCTGTTTGTCTTATGAATATATTGTTTAATGCTTAGAATTTAGAAATAAGATATATTTGAAAAATATGTAAAATTATTTTACCCTCTTCAAACAAGAAATCTACAAGATGACTAAATCTATGATAAAATAAAATGATATAAAAACCTTAATATCTGTAATTAATTTTTTTCTATAAAACTATTAATATCATGCGTAAAGTTTGGTAGGTATCTAGTATACCTATAAATTGTAAAGTACAAAAAAACGTTTAATCGTGCACTTGAAAGTTATGCTATGGATAAAATTTTGGACTCGTATATACAAAAGAATAATAGAATATTAATTGAAAGAGTCGTAAACAGTGATGTATTTTACAACAAATTCCTTGCAATGATTTTGGATATCCAAGTTATTTTTAAATAGATAATAAACTGCTACCGTTATATAATAAAAATGGAATTAATAAATTAAAATGTGAAAAACAATGTATAGGAAAAACTCATTCTACTTGAAAAAGTATACTATTAAGATGGTTAATAATTAAAAAAACAGACAGGGAAATTTGAGATAATTCAATATTAAAAAAAAAAAAAAAAAAAAAAATTACTTAATCATATTGTAAAAACAAATAATAATTATTATTGTTAGAATCTCAATTATGAATGTTTTTGTTCTATCAACTTGAATTGCATTAAAAATAAACACATGTAAAAGTAATATTATGGATAATTCAAATGTATTCCAATGCAAATGAAAAAGATTTATGAAATGAGATAATTATTATAAAAATATATTTATTTAAGATTTGTAAATTATTATTTCTTACCATATTTTCTTTGAATATTGTTCTTAGATTGCTGGGTTTCTTTCATTTGCTTAACATTAGCACTTATATTATCAAAAAACTGCTTCAGGTCACTCATTACATCTATTTAAACAATACAATATTTAATAATATAAAAAAAATATACAAATAAAACATTCGTTTAATGATAATACATTTTTTTTAATTTGTAAGTTCGTACTTTTTGAGAGAATATTTTAAACCCATATAAAATTGAATATACAATAATTAAATTTTTTTAAATTAAATATACAACTTCATTTCATAAACAGTGAATGACACACTTGATAAGTAGACGGGATTAATTTTAATTAACTTTTAATAAAATTTTAAATACGTAAAACAGTATATTTTTGTGTTCCAAAATTATGAAAAAATATTTAATTCTTATACATTATTCATAAAAATTGAAAAAGTAATAACAGAAAAACAACTTACAATCTTAAAATTAATAATATTACGTGGAATTTATTAAGCTCTTGTGTAAATGTGTTAAATTTTTATTAAAAAAAATAAAAATCAGTACGAGTACATGTAAATGCGATGGAAAGTCATATAAAAATATTCTCTCATCATAAGTAAGTGTTTACAATTTAAGTGTATTTTTATACGTATTCTTCATAAAATAAATATATTTTGTATTTAAAAATTTCTTAGAATAAGTTTATTAATAATACACCAAACAATATTCTTATTAAATTATTTTTAATTTTACAGAAATGATAAAATACAAATAAAATAATAAACATTTTTTTTTTTTTTTTAACTAGTTTAATTTAATTTTAAAATTAAGTTAAAAATATCTTTAGCCAAAAGACATAGTTAAATTCAAATTACCTAAAAGAAATATGTTTGATAATATTATGTGCTAATATAATTTTTCCATCATAATTAGTAATTTGTGTTCATAGTTTAATATCATCAAAGTCCTACTTATTTTGTGTATAAAAAATTCGTTAACTTAAATTTTGTAAAAATTTATTGCGTTAAATACATTCATGAATATTATAATTAACCATTAGTTTTAAGGAGGCAGATCTATGCGTTCTCATTTTCATTTATTATCAGATACGCAAACACATGGCAAGAAACTTCTGGAATATTAATGCTAGTGATGAATTAATTATTACGTAAAGGTTGGCATTTTGGGAATTATTACGATTTTTCTTTATGAACATACTATAATAAAATAATGTATTTTTACAAATACATTTTTATCAAAATAATTAAATATATATATATATATATAATGAAACAGTAAATAAATAAAAACGAATGTATACCTATTCTCTTTCACTTACCAATACTTTCATATGGAGTTAAAGAAGTTTGTGTTCGTTTCATTAAAGATGAAAATATGTCGGAACTTTTAACTTTCTTTTTATTTAATGTATCTTTGGGGATATTACGTTCCAATATTTCTTTATCAAAATATAGTAGATCCCATATTGATTTAAGATTACTTTTTTCGATACCTAAAATAATAATAAAACAATTTATAAGTAATATGTATCATAATATATTTTGTTAACATTAATTATTATTATTTAGTAGGTTTTAAGAAAATTGCAAAATATTGTGAAATATACAAAAAACATGTATAATAGTTATTAATAATTCGGTTTTATGAATAAATAATATTAGAAACTTTGAGAATTTTGGCCATTTCTTAGTAACGCAAATTTGTGGAATATTATACATATTTCAGTATTTAATATTGTAATGAATTCATCACATTATTATCGAGTTATTATTTAAGCTAATCATAACGTGTAGTTGTAAATTATTTTTATTCGTTAGCGTTAAAAGATATATTGATGTACCTCATAAATATTAAATATAGCCGAAAAACAGTCCAAACAAAGTAATACTCCAAAAATATAGGCGTAGTACAAGATTATGTCAAATAGTTCCTATATTTTAATACACTCATCATATTATTGAATTTCATAGTGAAATATAAAATCAACATGATTTAACTACGAAATCCAAAATTATGAATAACCAATTTATAAACAATATTATTTAGGTATTAATTATAATTTATAATATATAAGCTATGACATTCCAGATAGTGATTACAGGTTTTATAATAGGCTGAATAACTTTTTTTAGATGAGATCATATTATATCGTAGGCGAAACTGGTGCTCATATCAGTGTTGAACTCAGAGATTGATGATTATGGATCATAAACCCCCAGGTAAACAATTTGGTTAGTCGTTAGCTTATCGCACGTTCTAACAATAAATAAGTAGTACAGAGAACACTATTGGATGATACACCGATAACAAAAATATGAGTGTGTATATTAAGTTCAAAAAAAATTTAAGTTTAATATTCAAATAATTCCATAATTTTTTTGTCAATATAAATGATTTGCAATATACAATACTAACAAAAATAAAATGAAAATGAAAAAGTAAGATTTTATTTTAATTATTTTTTAGTATAATTTTTCAACAATAGCGATGCATCCTACACCCATTAAATTGAGGATAAATAGTATATGGTACCAAGATTTTTACAAAACTTTGATAATACAGTGTAATAAATTAGGAATAATAATTCCTAAATTCCTAATTTTTTTTTATTTAATGATTAATTTATTAATTCTCTGATTTTCGGATTTTTAAATATTTTTATGAAATAGATAAGTGTTATTATTAGTTGATTTAAAACAACAGTGATTAGAAGATTTGACAACAATAAAACAACTACCTATAAGTTTTTATTTACAAAATATACGAGACAGTGTTTTTAATTTTACAATATACTTTTGTTAACAATAATTATTTATTTCCTTTTTATTTTATTATAGAACGGTTCATATTGAATTTGTCTTTTTTATATCGTTTTATTATTTTAACTATATGGACAAAATACACAATATAAGTGAAATTCATCTAGTTCAAATATGATTTAAATCAACTTAGATCTACATTTTTTTCTATATTTATACTGTCTATACGTAGTTAAACTTGATAAATAAGAAACAAAAATATGACATTTCATATACATAATTTAAATTCTAACCTAACCTAACTAAATCAGTCTGTAAAAAAATTAAAATCTTCCATCATATTCTAAACAATTCAAAATTATTTATTTCAGTTTTTAAAAAATACATACATTAGTGAAATGAATCTTTTAATTTTAACTAATTTTATAAATAGGTATTTTGTAAAATAATAGAATTTTTAAATTATTAAACAACCAAAATAGCTTTTAATCTTTCAATCTTAAAATATCAATCATGATATATTCTATTCAACTTTTTTTTTTATTATTATTTTTATACATTTCACATAAAATATAAAACAGATAACATTATAATTATCTTACGTGTTGAATATTCTACACGAAATATAACATGTTATTAGAGTTTTTAATACATTTATGTTCACAAATCCAAACAACTTTTTGTGAAAAATTAACATAAGTACAAACTATAAATCACATGATTTTGTTTTAATATTTAAATCCAATTATTAAAGTTATTTTAACTTAAAAATATTTCGTACAGAATTCATGTATATAGTTTTTAAAGTTATTGTTTCATACAAAAATATTTAAAAAATACTGATATTTTATTAATTTTTTTTATAATTTCTCAATTAAAAATAATAAAAAATGATTTTGTTTTAGCAATATATTATATTAGATTAGATTAGAATTACTTTTACAAAAAGTTTATTTAAAAAAAAAATTATTTTTGAAGTACTTTAAAAATTTCAATAAGTTATATACAATAGGTATCTTTAAAGAAATTATAAATTGATTAATGCATTAATACATTTAACAGTCCATTTTTGGAATTTTAAATAACTTTTGATAAAATCTTACTATATCTGGGTATCTGGGGTCACTAAGGTCTACTCACAAATGTATTTTGAATTTTGAATGTAATGCTTTATTACTTCCTTCAAATTTTTAAATCACTATTCCCGGTGGACCACATAACTCTCATTTTTTACATAATCATATTTCAGTTTTCAATATATTTACATCGATAGTTTTCTAAAGTTTAACACAAGATAATTTATAATTAAAAAATATGAAAATTTATTTTAGTTATGCACAGTCTACTATTGTTATACGCATATATCTAGATTTATATAATTTTAACATAAATATTATTATAATATTTTATTTATTATAATAACTTTAAAATATATTATATATTAAAAAATAATAATTGATCATCGGTATATCATCAATATAGTTAATATTCTCAGCAGAGAAAAAGAGTTATTGTGTTCAGTGAGTACCTAAATATATGAATACTTCACAACAACTGGGAGAACCTTTTTAAGTAGTTTTTAAATTTTAAGAGGAGTAAGAAAACTAAAAAAGAAAATCGAATAAAAAGGTCAAACAAATGTTTTTTGTTTATTATTCATTGTTATCGTAACACTAGGAAAATATTAAACAAAATATTTATATAACATACACCTAGTATAGGGTTGTCATATTTTATTTTACTTCAGCTGAAACAAACATTTATTTTATAATTTTCACGTAAAACAATTTACCACTCCTTCGCGGTAAACCACAAATTTTAAAAATCTAATTTTTCGATTACACACTCAATGGTCCACAATCTACGATATTCATTTATGAGGTAAAAATTAATTCAATGTTGCAAATTGAAAAATAACTGAAAAAATTATTAATTACTGAGAAGTTATAATAAAAAATTTCACCATGGAACAGTAAAAACAATTATTAACGTGTTTTCGTTTATGGTTTGTAGATGTAAACAAATAGAAGAATTATTTTTAAACAGAATTCATCACCCAATAAATTATCAACTTGATTGTTTGATAATTTATCATAACAATATTATTTTTCAACCAAACGTGTTTTGTAAAAGATAAAATATTGACATAAATCATTATTGAAGTTTGATACCAAGACAATTGACCATACAAGAACACTTTATCGGTATCCTGGGACAATATATTCAAAATCGGTGCAGTCTCGACTAACTTAATGACCAGCTCACAATTCATTTTATCCATTCGCTATAGTTAACTATGGATGCCAATGTACAGTTATACAATTTGTCTCGAGTTTTGTATACGATAGGTAAAGCTATAATATAGATTAAGGTGTTAAGACATCCTGTTTTTAAAAGTTTATCGTCATGTCCTGAAAATTTTAATCGAGATGTCGATGCATCCCAGAAATATAATTTGATACTATAAATTAATATTACATCATTTATATAACCTTTCTGCAGTATCTCCTGTTTTCGTCAAATCTATTTATTTAATAGTGATCTATAAAGTATTCTAAAATTATTTAAAATTTTGAAGAAATAAAAGAGGCTTATTTGTTCTACACATTTTATTATTGTACCAAGTCGGTTTGGATAGTATGGGCTTCGCCAGCAATTTAGTTACAAAAGCCTCAGCAGCATCCATAATTAATATTAAATTCACCTCAAGAAGTTGGTTAATTTTTTTCACCAAAAACGGTTATAAATTATCTGAATTATAGTTTTAATACACAAACTAATATATTTCTCTATATTTATTGTTTTTTTTAGATAAATTAGTTTACATTTATTTTTAAGTCATTTTTGGGGAATCGGTTATTATTGGATGAAAATTTAAATTATATCAACATTATCGATATCTTTTTTAGAAACTTATTTATTAATAATTTAAAGTAAGAGAGAAAATTATTTTTATTCTATAAATTAACAATTCTTATTTTTTAATATTTTAATTTTAGATTCCTAACAATTCCATAAATAATATATTAATTTATGAAGATCTGTGTTTTATGTGTGTCGTGTATATATGATAAATAGTTGAAAAAACTTTTATTTTTAACTTTAAAAGAGATATTTGGATAGTAAACATTGAATTTAGTTTGTACTTTACAATAGTTAAAATTAAAAATTTCTAATAATTTATTTTATAATCAGGAAAAACAAAAAAAAAAAAAAAAATAAGTAAAAACTAGATTAAATACATAAATCCAATTTTTGACAAAATCATTTTTATTTTATTTTTATTCCAAGTTTTTATAGTATTATTTTATATTTATGATAAAAATTTTTATTTTTATTTAATTCACTGGTTAAAAGTTTTTGAAAATTTAATATTAATCGCCTCATAAATTGTTTATTTCTTAATCAAAAATCTCTATCCATACTTTTTTATAATCGTTTAAAAAAAAAAGTTTATCAAAAATGAACAAATTTTTTTGTAGTTAAAATTCATAAAAATGTTTGTTTTAAAATCTAAAATTTGAAAATGTTTACAAGGTTTTTCATTTGTTTTTCAACCTACTTATGTATAAAAAAAAATTTAACCAAAATGTCAAATTAATTTTTATGAGCGTTTGAAATTAAAATGTTTACGATATTAGATATTTACCCGTAAAACAATTATTTTTCCTCAAACAATTTTTGTTCTTATGCTGTATTTAAAAAAAAAAAAAACAGTAGATAAATTTTTACA